CCAACATATAACACCCAGTGCTCATCCCGTCAAGTGCCCCCCTCAGTGTCTGTCCCCCAGTCACCCCATCGACCTGCCCATCTCCCCTTCCACTACCCCTTGTTCGTTTCCCAGAGTTAGGAGTCTCTCATGTTTTGTCACCCTCTCTAATTTTCTCTCCTTTCCCCTATAATCCCTTTCACTATTTTTTATATTCCCTATATCAGTGAAACCATATAATCATTGTCTTTCTCTGATTGACTTACTTTACTCAGCATGATACCCTCTAGTTCCATCCACGTTGAAGCAAATGGTAGGTATTCGTCATTTCTAATGGCTGAGTAATAGACCACATCTTTATCCATTCATCTTTCGACGGACACCGAGGCTTCTTCCACAGTTTGGCTATTGTGGACATTGCTGCTATAAACATTGGGGTGCAGGTGCCTCGGCTTTTCACTGCATCTGTATCTTTGGGGTAAATCCCCAATAGTGCAATTGCTGGGTCGTAGGGTAGCTCTATTTTTAACTCTGAGGAACCTCCACACAGTTTTCTAGAATGGCTGTACCAGTTCACATTCCCACCAACAGTGCACAACCTACTCATTCTTAAATTACACCTATAAAGGGACTTTGTTCAGTGCTTATTAGCAATTTGTAAGTACAGATCTTACTCCCCACTTTACTACCCCTATGAAATCTTAATTTAGTCAGTTTTGCTATACTGTTTTGAAAACACGCTTTTGTTTTATTCAATTGGTATATTAGAAAACAATTTGACTGTAACACCTTTTTTACCTTTGCTTATGTATGATCTTGTTTAGAAGAAACCGTGAATGCAGAAAATTATAACATCCAGGTGAACAGCTTCACAGGAATGCATAAAAATTACACACACCTTAAACGTCAACTAAACTATCACAGTTAATCACTGGTGTTATGAGTCACATCAGAGCACAATCTACTGCTAAGACCTTCCTCTGATTTTAGATCACCTTCCTTCCACTACTTTATACAAACTCACAAGTTATAGCCCCCTAATATTCATTGCCACAAGTAAACCCCAGGTTTTTTCCAAAGTAAAGTGCCACATTTATTGTTGTATTTATGTATTAACCACTTAACATGTAAAAATCTGCCATTTTTATTAGTTTGTTATCCTTTTTTTCATGTCATTGATGAAGTTTTTGTGTTTTGCACCTCTTCCCTCATTTTTCCCATAAGCCATGTAGTTTTTATTGTGTAATTTTTTATACACAGCATAGTGATTTACAGGAATACATATGTTGTTGTAGCATTGGAACTGACTTTAACTTCTTGAAAGCCTTTCTACTACTCTTGTGTTGATTTACCATACTCACTTCTAAATCCATATATAATTTATAGTCAGAGTTTCTAGAAAATTTACTACGTAAGTGTATATTTTCTGATGTTCTTTGCTATTCAGTGCACACTTGTTGGTTTTTTTTTCCAAATAGATTCTGAATTCTGTGAAGGAAGGTGCATGTCTTAGAAATTTACTATCGAACATCCCCATACTCTACATACAGTTCTTTATCTTTGTATCCTGGCATCATGTTGCATACATATCTATTTACTATTCAATTAAACATACTGAACCACACGAGTTTGAACTGCTTGAGTCCACTTGTACATGGATTTTTAAAATATATAAACAGTACGGTACTATAAATGTATTTTTCTTCTTTATGATTTTCTTAATATTTTTCTCTAGTTTTTTAAGAATACAGTATATGGAGACACCTGAGTGGCTCAATTGGCTAAGCATCTGACTCTTGATTTCAACTCAGATCATGATCTCAGGTTTGAGAGATCCAGCCCCACATTGGGCTTCATGCTGGGCATGGAGCCTGCTTGAATTTTTCTCCTTCTGCCCTTCCAACTCCCTTCTCTCTGTCTCTTCTCCGCCTCTCTCTAAAGAAAAATGCAGTGTACTATCTATATAACCTACAAAATATGTGTTGCTTGACTTTTATTTTTGGTAAGGTTTCTGGTCAACAGTAGCAGTTAAGTTTCTGTGGAGTCAGAAATTACCTGTGGATTTTTAACTGTACAGAGGTTTGGTCATTTGTATTTGTTTATCTGAGAAGGATAAAATTTCAGTTGGATTCATAATGTGCCTAAATCCTATTTTTAAATTTAGTTTAACACAGATTTTGAGGCTCAGGATACATCATTCTATTAGAACCAATACTGATTTCATTATGTCTCTGTTTTTGCCTTTATACTCTTCTGTACTTTAACTGCCATTTCTTTCTCATTTTCTCTCTTTTTTTCCCGAGCAGATCATAGGAAAAGGGCATGCATGTAAACTTAAATGTTACTTTTAAAATAATATTGACAAACATCAGAAGAGGGAACTTTTTTAACCTTAGAACTTTCTAAGCTCCCTTCCAAGGCATTTTTCCTAAAACACAGTTTATTTTCCTTTTATAGTTGGATGTCATCTAATATTTAGATTATATATATTACCATAAGAAGTAGTTATAAATCTTTCTCTGGCATTTCATATTGTTGTGATATTTTGTTTCACCCAAATGTTTTCTTGAAAAGTGATGTGTGACTAAAAGGTCATTTGATATTTAATACATTTGACACCTTTGATGTAAATTTGATGGGGAGTAAATTAGGCTTATTTGTTAAAGAAACCAATTGCAATGTATTTCTCATGGAAAAGAATCTCAGTGCAAAAAAGTACAAGTTGAAACTGGTAAATAAAGCTTTGTTAATCTGGTACATCATGGTAATCAAGTAAAGCATTACTGTGTTTATGTAAAATATTTTTATTTTGCTTGCCTGTTATGTGATCTCATATTTAGAGTTATTCATTATTTACTCCTTTAAGTTTGATTATCTCCTACCCACCGACCCATCTCTCAGGTTTGTAGTATATATAAGTAGATGTTTCAGTTTATGTTTACATACCCATTCTGTGCCTCAACCAACAATAGTGGTCTTGGGTTCACATTAATGGCTGGACTCATGAGACAAAATAGACTTCACTCAATACTATGGTTATTTTCCTTTAAGAAGGGATACAGGACGGAAACAGTATAGTTTGTACAGCAGCAACATAGAGAGATCTCATGATATTCAGGTGGAGTTTACATATGTCCCAGGCATCTCACACTTGTTATGTTCATGATCTTGAGGAACATGACTGTGTGATGAAGCCCTTACCTCGAGTCTCTTCACCCACCTTCCTCCCCACCTCTGCCCCTTCAAGTTTTATACCTTATTCCTATTCTCTAGATGAGATCATCGGTACTAGAAAAACAATCTTGGCAGTGAACTGCAAGTCCCGGGTAAAATACATAGTAACTTCAGCCACATTGTCATTTATCTTATAATTAGCACACTCTTATTTATAACTTCTGAGTTAAGAGTTTCAAGAATGATTTGGCCAAGTGCCATATCCTCAGGTGTTCCTGAGGCTAAAGGAAAGGTTATAAAACCAACTGTTAACCCTTTCAGTTAAGGTCTGTAAACAACCAACAGTCAGTTCAAAGATGTATTTTCTTTGTCCTCTGATTTTTTTTTTAAATCATAGAAAATAATAACATATACAGAAGTGGTTTAAATAGTATAAGCAAACAAGTGTTCATTCCTGCTTCAATAATTAAGTCGTGGCCAGTCTCATTTTACCTATACCCTGGCCAGTTCTCCCTTCTTGAAGGGATTTTTTTTTTTTAATTTTGTTTTAAAGAGATTTCCATTGCCATGTCTTTTGTATTCTTGAGACTCATTTGTTGAACAAGCTAGGTCATTTATCCTGTACTGTTTCCCACTATTGCACACATTGAATTACCCTGATTGCATCTTTTTTATGTAATGTGTTCTTTTTAACTTCTATTCATATGACTTGTAGTTAGATCTAGAATGTTGATCAGATGCTGTTTGGATTGATTTCTTGATGGGAGCAAGAGTCACATACCAAAGGTAGTTTTTGTGCTGTGCAGCAGCTCTTGGTGTCAGTGCCTCATTATTAGTTGAAAAATGATGATATCCTGACTGTATAATTTCTGCTTCATTTATTCCTGGAATACTTTTGATAAAGAGCATCTTCCTTTCATCCACTGTTTGGTTAGCATGTGGTACAGTTTGTATAAGGAAAAGCAGGTAAATTCTTTAAATTTTACTTACCAATAACATTATGAACTGATGGATTCTAATATATTTGATGTGTTCCAGTCTATTACAGTTATCCATATGTCAATGTTGTCCTATTTCTGCTCTGATTTCACTTTTAAGTCCACCATAGTTTGAATTAGAATACCTTTTGATGAGTCGAGCTCTATTCAGTTTGTCTTCTCTTTGCCTAATTCCTGTATCATACTTCACTTATTTATATTAGTTGCCTAGTCCTTAAAGCATTTGAGTTTTGGGATCCCTTTAAAAATTATTACCTAATAAACCTAACATAAAATTTTAATTTGAAGTAACTTGTTTGTAGCAAAGTTATTAACCATTGGCAAATGACTACCCTCTGTGGTAACAGTGCTCTTCAGTGAAGTGAAATTTCTTAATCATTAGAAGAATGCTCAGGTATGAAAATAAGCCAATGCCAGTGGAGTCATGTTTCTTATTTTCCACATTCATGTAAATAATTTTTTTGTGTGTTATTTCTCTCCTACAGTTCTGCCTCTATTCTTGATAATAAGAAAAAGTTGAAAACCACAAGAAGATTTGAATCTGGGAGTCCTAAAATTCTGTGCTTTTTAGATAATGTCATTTAAGTGTTTTCTAAAGTCAACTTAGTCTTAGACTTACCTGTTACTTTTCCAAAATTATTTGGCAAAGTAGATACAACTTTGATCCATGAAGCCAGAGATCTAGATTCTAATCCTAAGTCTTGACTCCTTTCCTGTACCCCTCAGTTCAAATAGGTGGATGAGCTAAGTGTTAAATATTGGACTTAGAATCTGCAGCAAATTTAAATTTCCACTTAAAAGTTTATCTAAAAAATGCTGACCAAAACCTTTTTTTATTTTTTATTAAAGCTAAGAAAGAAGAAAAGAAAAGACATAAGTCATCCTCCTCCTCCTCCTCTTCATCCAGTGACTCAGATAGCTCAAGTGATTCTCAGTCCTCTTCTGATTCTTCCGATTCAGAAAGTGCTTCTGAAGAGAAATCAAAAAAAAGAAAAAAGAAACATAGGAAAAATTCCCGAAAACACAAGAAAGAAAAGAAGAAGCGAAAGAAAAGCAAGAAAAGGTCTTAATTTTACTTTTATAGTACTAGCTTTATATTTGAATTGTCTTCAGTTTATAAGTAAATCTATTGAGATTTTGGATCAACTGTATAGCAATATTAAAAAAGTGAGAAATACTTTCTAGCGTGAAGTATAAGACCATTTTTATTCTATAGTCTATATTAGGTACATTTTCATTTCCTTTTTTTTTTTTTCATTTCCATTTCCAACAAAACTATTCATTTTAGTTTGTCTGAACTCAGTGAAATGATGCTTTTGGTTTTATAGTTTTGTGTTTCATAGGAGATAAATATTTAGCGTTAACGAGAATTATAGGAAACTGGTTATTTATTTTCCTTATGTTTTATCGCAGTCTTTCTTGCCTTTTTTTTTTTTTTGTCCTTTATTTCCTTTGTTGCTATGCAAGCACAAGGGTAAAAGCAAATAATGACAGTATATTTTTCTGTTTTGTCTGAATCTTTTTATACTAAAACTTGTCATTATATGCCTATTGCCTTTAAAGCAACTAATTTGCCTACATTTTATCAGTGCATGGCTTATGGAGTTCCATATTTTAGACTCATTTTATTGGAAAATTCTGAGAATGTAATAACAAATCATTGATTTTGGTTTTGGGTTGGTTAGCTGGTTTGTCAGGGGACTAAAGGAGGATTTTCCCTATGTTACTGCATCTTTGTGGGGGAGTGGGCAGGATGGCATATATATTGTAATAATTTGGGATAGATACATAATAATGAAATGGAATTTGTTTTGTGTGTTTTCTGTTAAGTGCATCTAGTGAAAGTGAGACTGAAAATCTTGAAGCACAACCCCAGTCTACTGTCCGTCCAGAAGAGATCCCTCCTATACCTGAAAATAGATTCCTAATGAGAAAAAGTCCTCCTAAAGCTGATGAAAAAGAGAGGAAAAACAGAGAAAGAGAGAGAGAGAGAGAGTGGTATGTTAATGTGTCTGTCTCGTAGAGTGTTCTACAGTCTTTTAAGTCTTCACTTTAAACAAGATTTAATTGATGACTTTGTCTTAAATTGAAATCTTTTTTTATAGGATAATGTTAGCAAAGCTCCTTTTTGTTAACCACGTAGCTTAAAAGAAGAACTGAATTCAAACAGATTTTGAGTAAAAGTTACTTTTTTGAAAAATAAGCACCACAAAATGCCTTTGTTAGCATTTTGGCAATTTCAGACCAATTCCATTTAAAACAAGCTAAGTACCTTACTGTGTAATTTGTATATATTAAACTTATAAGCAAGTAAGAACCTTTATTTTCCAATTTGTCTAATAGGCAAAAATGCTGTTTTTCATGCCTGATTTATAGTATTGTGGTAATGAAAATTGATACCATATTCAAGTTCTTTGAAAATTTTGTACATAAATTCACATTATTAGTATTAGTAGGCCTGTTCTTTATAAATCATTTTAATAATTATGTCCAACAGTAGAAAAAAGATTGAAATCATTTTATTTATTATTAGAAATGTGTTGTTATAGCATAAAAGTAATAAAATTTTGAGTTTTCCCCTATACTTACACAATATAGTAAAAATATAAAAATAAATCTTAGCTTAAAAAAAAACTGATTTGAGGGACGCCTGGATGGCTCAGTGGTTGAGCATCTCTCTGCCTTTGGCTCAGGGCGTGATCCTGGAGTTCAGGATCGAGTCTTGCATCAGGTTCCCCACAAGGAGCCTGCCTCTCCCTCTGCCTGTGTCTCTGCTTCTCTCTGTGTGTCTCTTATGAATAAATAATATCTTAAACAAAAAACAAAAACCCAAAACTTATTTGAAACTTGGGGTAATTTTGATGGATTGGATTGAGTTAATTTTTCCTTAAGTATTAGGAAAGGATATTTTTAAGGAAATAGATTATTGCAGAGAGAATGTTTGAACTACTTAAAAATGAACTTTTCGAACATAACTTACATGAATATTATTGGTACTAATTAAATATTAACTCATTATTTTTTGAAAACCTTTTCCTATTTTGGTGTAAACCAGGATATAAACATTTTGCTAATTCACATCAGCTTGTGTCTGCTTATTTCTCAGTACTTACTCTTTTCTGTAGTTTTTTTTTTTCCCCCTTAAGATTTTATTCATTCAATCATGAGAGACAGAGAGAGAGAGGCAGAGACACAGGCAGAGAGAGAAGCACGCTCCATGCAGGGAGCCCAATGTGGGACTCGATCCCGGGTCTCCAGGATCACACCCCAGGCTGCAGGTGGCACTAAACCACTGGGCCATCAGGGCTGCCCTTCTATAGTTCTTTTAACAGTGAACAGTTGCTTATAGGATTATAAACTACTTTGGAATAAGATGGTAGGGGGTTGTTTTGTTTTTTTAAAGATTTTATTTATTTATTTTAGAGAGTGTGTGTGCACCAGTGGAAAGAGGGGCAGAGGGAAAGAATCTCAAGTAGATTCCCTGCAGATCCCAATATGGGCTCAGTCCCAGGCCCCCTGAGATCACGACCTGTGCTGAAATCAAGAGTTGGATGCTCAACTGACTAAGTCACACAGGCGCACCTCAAATAAGATACTTTTAAAATTATTCTTAGTGTCATACAGCCTTTGGTGAGCTATGGTGATTTTCCTTAACACTGTCCGCTCTTCTATGATGATTTTCCTTAACACTGTCAAGTTAATTTCACCTTTAGAAAGGTTATTTTTAACAGTGTTTCTCAGCACACAGCTGGCATTTTGGGGCAGAATAGTTCTTCATCCTCGTGCATTATAAGATTTTAGCATTCTTAACTTGTGGCAATAAGTACCAGTAGCACTCTCTAGTCATTGGCAGTCGAAAAATGCTCCCATACTTTTCCAAATACTACCTACTAGGAATTGATAACATTGAAAACCACTGATTATGTATAAGATTTTAAATTTATTAGTTTAGATCAGTAAAGCTATATTCTCCAGATTCATTTTATATTATGTTTTAATATTTTAATTTAAATCTAATTAGTATCTTATTAGTTTCAGAAGTATAGTGATTTATCAGTTGCAGGCAACACCCAATGCTCATTACATCAAGCACCGCCGTCCTCAGTGCCCATTACCAAGTTACCCCATCCCTTTAGCAACCCTCCATTTATTTCCCATTATTAAGAGTCTTATAGTTTGTCTCCCTTTTCTGATTTCATCTGATTTTATTCTTTCCTCCCTTCCCCTATGATCCTTTGTCTTGTTAACTTCCACATATAAGTGAAATCATGATAACTCTTTCTCTGACTTACAGCATTATACCCTCTAGTTGTACTCACGTTATTGCAAATGGTAAGATTGCATTTTTTTTGTTGGCTGAGTAATACTGAATTGTGTATATTTTAATTTTCCCTTTGCTTCCTTCTAGTAATCCACCTAACTCCCAGCCTGCTTCATATCAGAGGCGACTTTTAGTTACTAGGTCTGGCAGGAAAATTAAAGGAAGAGGACCAAGGGTAGGTGATTCTTTTTCCCAGAAATCTTAATAATATTGCATTTATCTTAAATAATTTGAGTGTTTCTTAAATATTCTTTTATACATAAGTAACTAAAATAGGGGTATTGAATTATATGTTCTCTTTTTATAGTAACTTCTTTGTGTTGGTACTTCCAGACTGAAAATACATGGGATGTAATAGATTTTACATCTACATGGTAAAAATGAGATGAGTATCTTTCTTGTGCCTCCTTGTTACTTCCTGATCACTGTATCTCTAATCTTTTTAAAAATTAATAAAAATTAACCCTGTGCTTATATTTCATCCTCTTTCTCTTTATTGGATTCTCCTCATCAGAATTTGAATATCGTCTTGTGTTTTCAAGACTTATTAGGACTGTGGATATACTTGGTATATTATTTTTTCACTACTTATTTCTAAACCATTTCAATTTGTCTTCAACCATTCTGCTGAAAATAGCACTTGATACACAGTTGGCTACATGTCACAAAATCCAATAGGTCCTTCCAGCCTTTGTCTTACTTAATCTCCCCCTTGTAATACTCTTTCGACTTGCTTCCATCCTATCTTCTTTCTGTCTCTTGGCCAGTCTATTTTAAATGTCCAATGCTACTATAACTGGCCCTTAATATAGTAGTACCTCAGGGTTCCAACTCTTATCCTTTTGATCCTTGGGCAGTCTTATCACTCAGTTTCAGTGGCTACCTATATGTTGATAATTACCAAAGGTTCATTTGCTGTTCTGGTACCAAGACTTAATTTGACAGTCAGCTAATTGTTTAACAAACACATCAAACTCAGTCTAGATAACGTTGAGCATAAACACTTCTTCTTCAGACCAGGTGATCCTCCTTTAGGTTCCTACTTTCAGTTTTAGACACCACCATCTCTGCAGTTACTTATAGCCCAAAATCATTTTATTTCTCTCCTTTACTACCTTGTATATCTTACTTATCACCAAATCATGTTTTCATTTCAACCTGTTCTAAATACTTTGAAATCCATCTGTTTCTCTCAGACTCCACTCCCACCATCTTAATTCAGTTTCCCTTTGTATATTTTCTGAAGTAGAAATGTCCTTCTAACTGTTCTCATGGCAGTTCTCAAACATTTTTGTCTTAGAATCTCTCTTTACACTCTTTTACACTTTTTTTTTTTTTTTAATGCAGAGCTTGAACTCACAACCTTGAGATCAACACCTGAGCTGAAATCAGGAGTTGGAAACATAACTGACTGAACCACCCAGGTGTTCCAGAATCTCTTTACACTCTTAAAAAATTATTGAGAACCCAAAAGAACTTTTGTGATTTGGGTTATATCTATCGATATTTTAGTTTTAAAAATTAAAACCAAGAACTGTTTAAAATACAAAAATGTATAAGCATACATTCCATTAGCTATGAAAGGAAAGATGGAAACATCACGTAGTCTCTGAAAAACTCCACTGTACAATGAGAGTGAAAGAAAAAAAGGCAAATGGCATGATATAATATAAAATCTTGGGATCCCCGACTACATTTTGAGAATCACTGATAGAATTCGTTCTCTAAACAGCATCCAAAATGTTCATTTAAAAATGAAAATGTCACTCCTTTGCCATCAATCTTAGGCCATGTTAACAATTTTGGATTTATCCAATGAGACCTCATAAACTAGTCCTTGCTTGCCTCATCAGTATTATTTAGTATTACTTTCCCTGGCAGTTTTTGTCTTTAGCCATACTGATCTATCTTATGATCTTTTCTAAAAAAAAAAAATGCAGTGTTTTTTCCCATCACAGGACCTTCAAATATGATTATTTCTTATGTTTCACATGTTCTTCCTTAACCATCCATCCTCACACTCTTACCTTTTCCTTACCCTAGCCTATGTAATTCCTCATGCATGTTTGTTAGTTTTTTAGATTTTAATTGTCATTTAACTTTCCCTGTACTAGGCCAGATCTCTTTGTTATATATTTTCTGAGCACTTTGTACTTCTTTTATACTGATTCTAATTGTAGCTGAATTAGGCTTGTTAATATTTGTGAATATATATCTGCCTATGGGTTCTCTTAGCCTTGTAGAATTCAATTCCAGAGGGGCAAAATCGAGATATGTCTTGGCTCACTAATGTTTCCTCAATACATAATAAAGTTGTTGGCCATTCCAAGAGCTGAGTAAATATTGCTTGAATAAATGAACATCTATGCCTTTACTCAATTATTCTCACAATATGGGATATTTGCCTTGAAATATCAAGAATACTTATTTCCAAATTGGAACTTGGCAAGTTGTAAGGGTTCTTGTAACTGTTATGCTCCAGTAGCATAACTAAAATAGGACAGTTTTGTGGAGAGGACACGGGTGGCTAGAATTTATGTGGTTAATGCTTTTTATTTGGAATTTATAGTCGAGTGAATGTTTAGAGTATTTTTGCTCCACAGGTTTCATTCTTGAAAATTAGGAAATTTCCTTATTTTAAAGGGTATAGAAATATCAGACATTTTATTTGAACCTAGAAATGTATATGCTATAGCTATTGTAATGCTTTTATATTTTTATACATTAAATTTTTTCCCTTTTTATTTTTTTAAGCGTTACCGAACTCCTTCTAGATCCAGATCAAGGGATCGTTTCAGACGTAGTGAGACTCCTCCACATTGGAGGCAAGAGATGCAGAGAGCACAAAGAATGAGGGTATCAAGTGGTGAAAGATGGATCAAAGGGGATAAGTAAGAAATAACTATATTATTTCAAATGTAGTGACAAGTTTGGTTTTTTGGGTTTTGTTTTGTTTTTTACTTTTGTACATAAAGTTTATTTATAGCTATTTAAATTGTTTCTGAATATTTTAAAGGATATAGAGTGCCATTTTGGCTAATAATGGATACCATTGTTTTCCTAATAAAATTTCCAAAAAACTTTTTTCTCCTTATTTTTTAGGAGTGAGTTAAATGAAATAAAAGAAAATCAAAGAAGCCCAGTTAGAATAAAAGAGAAAAAAGTAATTGATCACAGGCATGTGTCTGAGAGTCCAAACAGAAAAAATGAAAAGGAAAAGAAAGTTAAAGATCACAAATCTAACAGCAAAGAGAGAGACATCAGAAGAAATTCAGAAAAAGATGAGAAGTATAATAAAAACAAAGTGAAGAAAAGGGCCAAATCTAAAAGTAGGAGTAAAAGCAAAGAGAAATCAAAGAGTAAAGAAAGAGATACAAAGCATAATAGACATGAAGAAAAGAGGATGAGGTCAAGGAGTAAAGAAAGGGATCATGAGATTATTAAAGAAAAAGAAAAGTCTGATTCTAAAGGAAAAGATCAGGAAAGGAGTAGAAGTAAAGAGAAGTCTAAACAGTTAGAATCAAAGAGTAATGAGCATGATCATAATAAAAGTAAGGAAAAAGATAGACGTGCACAGTCTAGGAGTAGAGAGCGTGATACAACTAAAGGCAAGCACAGTTACAACAGTAGAACAAGGGAACGGAGCAGAAGTAGGGACAGGAGCAGAAGAGTGCGATCTAGAAGCCATGACCGAGATCGCAGCAGAAGCAAGGATTATCATAGATACAGAGAACAGGAATACAGGAGAAGAGGAAGGTCTCGAAGCCGAGAGAGAAGAGCAACACCAGGAAGATCAAGAAGTAAAGATAGGAGACGGAGAAGGAGAGATTCACGGAGCTCAGAGAGGGAAGAAAGTCAAAGTAGAAACAAGGAAAAATACAGAAACCAAGAAAGTAAGAGTTCACACAGAAAAGAAAATTCTGAGGGTGAGAAGAGAATGTACTCTAAAAATCGTGATCATAATAGCTCAAATAACAGGGAAAAAAAGGCTGAGAGAGATCAAAGTCCATTCTCAAAAATAAAACAAAGTAGTCAGGACAATGAATTAAAGTTCTCCACATTGAAAAATAAGGATGACGAGAAGACCAGATCCTCAGTGGAAAAAGAAAACCAAAAATCAAAGGGTCAAGAAAATGACCACATACATGATAAAAATAAAAAATTTGATCATGAATCAAGCCCTGGAACAGATGAAGACAAAAGTGGATGAGTGAGTTGTGTAAACTTATTTCCATTCTGTCTCAAATTTTAAGTTTTAGAGACTTGCTGATGAATCTCCTTTATGTTGTTTTCCTCTTTTCATTGTTTTTGGGGTTTATGTTTGTCTTTTTTTTTTTTTTTTTAATGTGGACTTCATTGAGTTGATCTTTTGATAATCTGCAACCTGGATAATTTGTACTGCTAAAGTTTTAATAAACTTGAAATGAGAAAAACACTTTGGTGTAATACTGTGTGCTGTGTTTAACTATTTCATGTATGCATTTTTGTGTTGCAACAATCAGCCAGTAGCAAGTATCCTATTCTACATCCCAGTTTGTGTGATCAGCCAGTTCAAAACAAGCATAACTGATTGTTGGAATACATTGTTACAGAAGCTTGTGTTTCTCATGATTAAAGTATCTTTAGAAGCCACTAGATAGAAGAAATCTTGTATAGATTTTATGGTTGCATTTAAATAGAGGCTTGCAGCGGCTGCAGCTTTTAATTAAACAGAAAAGCAGGATCCTAATAATTTGAGATCTTAGGTCATCACTTTTTATTTTATAGTAATTTGTGCTTTAAAAGTTACTTATATTGCACTTCCTATGTTCTTTATAATTCCACTAATAGCTTGATTCATACTAATATTTTTCCTGACTAGTTTTGTTTCACTTGTCTACAAAAATAATTACTTTTTTCAGCTGATATAGGATTAAGTTTGATTTGCTGTTATACAGCATCTGACAGGAACTATACCTTGGAAATTCAGCTTGTAATTCTCAATTCTATGTTGCTTTTGGTCTCAAAAGATGAAATTTTTGCTTTGGGGAACATTGCGTTATTATTATTCTCATTACCTTTCTCTAAAATGAAGATATTTTTCTCACTAAAACATACCACTTGTGCAGGTCTTTATGTGAGATTCTAAAAATTGTTAGTATTGACATACTAACTTCCGAGATCTCTTTTTTGGCCACTGGTCTATATAGAGTTGAGTGTTAATTCTGCATGGTACTTGTTTTGTTTTTGTTTATGTTTTGTTTTTTTTTTAACTTAAGCTGGCTTCTCTAACTCATAGTAGTGAATTTCAAATGGCAAGAAAATGCATCTTTTCTATATATGTATCACAATAGGGTATAGCATGTTTATGACTCTGGTTTCTTTCTATTCAGATGGCCTTCTACCATTACTGTTAACATTGTTTTAGCTTGGCATGTGTAACATTGCCACATAGAGTAGAGTAGAAAGTTGCAAAATTTGATAGCTTACGGAGTTAAACAATAAAAGATACCCAAAGTCCATTTAGAATTTTGTGTGTTGTATATTGCTATTTTTGTGATGTGTGGCCTTTTTTCCTGTAATTTCTCTTCTAAATAAAAAATAAAATATTGAACATCCAGCAAACAGAAAACCTTCCTCATTTGAGAAGAAATTTCAGAAATTAATAGTAGCCTTTAGAGTGTTTTGTACTTTAATATTTGTCAATGTAGTGTCAGCTCTTTTACCAGGGTAACTTCTTGGTAAATCCAGTAATTAGACTCAGTGCTGTTTGTACTGAGCAAAGCAGTGCTTAACATATTTCCCATTATTGATTAATACAGTAATGACACATTTGGCATTGTGGTAGTTGTTTCCATAATGAATAATAGGTAATGATTATAAGATTGTTTGGAATATCTTGAAGCAAATATCCACAATGAAGTCTTTTCTAAATTTTTTTTCCTGACGATAAAAGTGATAGATGTTTATGATAATCTGGGATGATTGATTTCTTAGAGACTGACCACAAACCTACCTTGAGTTCCCAAGCTGTATAATCTGTTACATATCTTAAATTAGTTATTGTCTTAAATTCAGTAAATTGCATTTTAAAAATCTCGTTATAAACTATTTGAGCTTTAAGAAAGGTGCTATTTAAGAAAGGATTTCTAATAACAACAAAGACCCATGCTAAGTAAAAATACTTATTACATGTTGTCTGATTGTAAAGCTTTACTAAGAATTATAGACAAGTAACCATAGGGGAAAAAGTAATTTCTATAAGTAGTATTCTGTTGTGGTTTTCAAAAGAGCAACTCCATTCTAAGCATTTATAGACATTTAAAAACTGTTAGTTTTTACAGTAGAACAGATATAGTGAAGAAATTGAAAGATGACAATCAGGTAGATTTTATTTTCAGAATACAAAAAAACATTTAGAAAATAATTAAACAGCATTAACTCTATGTTGTCTGCCTTTGCATCAGAATAGCACATAGCTCAAACAGTCCTTTTATTAATTTTTTTTAGTTTTATTATATTTTTAATAGTTGTGTCACCTTTAGCTTTTATTTTGAATATCCTCTTTCCAGAAAGACGGCTCTTTCTTTCCTGTCAAATTGATTTTATAGTTCTGTCTGAGCTTACGGTTTACCTCAAACTATCTTTGACTTGATATCCTCTAAAGATATTTAATAGGTTTATTCTATTGTTTGGCAAGTTCTGAGTTTTTTTTCATGATTATTTCATTCTTTTTTTGGGGTAAACCATCTGCCACAGAAATTGACACTACAGAGAGATTAATGTTCAGTAGAGAATCTGCTGGATTGCTTTAAAATATTTTTAAATCACAGTTAATGAGTTCATAAGACCATTGTAGTTTCTAATAGAGTACCTTAAAGCCCTCACAGAAGTTTCAAAGAATGTGTCTGATAAATCTTTGTACAAGTATGGCACTGATTCATATTGGCTTTGCTGAATGGCCTTTGATTCTTGTGCCCGGTAGAAGGTATTAAACTGAAAAGTGAACATTTCTTAATATTGTAGAAAGGAACACATTGGGTTTCGGTATTTTGAGTAGTGATGTTAAAGGACGATTCTAATTTGTTTTCACGTTAATATATGGAACAAGTTAGTATGGGTTTTTTTAGTATCTCACTGTGCTTTACTCCAGGTAGCAATTTTTTTCATCACAATTTGAATCTTTTATAGTAAATTTCCATAGTAACTTGTTCCCTTTACCTTCACCAGAAGGTACTTTAAATATTATACATGATATATAGTTGATTGTTATAAAAATACATAAAATGGGTAATTTCCTGTCTTCTGGTCATGCTTATTGTAATTATTCAGTTTAGTATTTCATACATTTACAGATGAATAAACTCCAAGGATTATAGATTTATAACCTGTTTATTGTGAAAAGTTGTTTTGTTGCAATAGTTAAAAATTAATAAACTCTAGGAAGTGCAGCATTGACTGACACCTACCCATAGTGGGTTTCCCAGCTACCTTTAAAGGCTTCAGACATGCAAACTGGCCTGTGGTATGATACAAGAAGTAAATATTAAAAGAAAAATCACATAAATAAAAGTCCATCAGCAAGGTTGGAGAAGGGATTGTTGAGGGGTTTTGTTTTCAGGTATAAGGAGGAGTTGTGGGGTTAAGTTGTGTTTCTGCCTTTTTTTTTTTTTTTTCAAAACAAAGTCCTGCGTTACCAAAAGCCCATGCTGTGTATTTTGTTTCTCTTTTGTGTGTTTCTAATACTTTGAAGGATTGATAAATGAATTGGATATTTGTATGTGGGGATGTTAAAAGTTGTGGCTGCTCTCTTTGTGGAAGGGATAAATTCAAATGAAGTTAATGCACTTCTTTTCCTAGCTCAAAAGTCACTGTGATGTATATTTTTTTAATGAAATTTAGGAATAAAATTGTTGTCACAATTATATAGTTTCAAAATGCTGCTTCTTTTATCATTAGTCTAGTAACTGTTAAAACTGTTTTCTGCAAACTGCATTTTACAGAATTTAAACTCTGAAACTATCAACTTTTATAGTTAAGCATTAAATAAACTATAACAGTTTGTTTTGTATTTTTAAAATTACTGTTGTATTAGTTATTCAACCTTTATTTTTGTTAAAAGCTAAATAATGAAGATAAATCAACTAAAATATACTTTTATTTTACCCATGGGGATATAGAATTTGTATTAGGAAAAACTGAGCAAAGAGTTTTAAGAATACTGAGCTGCTTTAAGAATTTAGTCAGCAGTGATGATTTCCAGAAGGTTTGGAGATAAAATTCTAATGTAAATGTTTAATCATAATGCTTCAGATTACAATGTGTCTTTTGCCTCAGCAAACTTAAGGTTAGATTTGGAATTTGCATTATTGTCTACTGGAATGCTACCATTTGCTTTTTAGTTCCTCCAAATTTCTCAGCATTGGGAACACTGTATTATATCCTGTGCTTGCCAGTTTTAATATAACACTTAACATTGTAAAGCCATATCGATGTTAATTGACTTGTAAAAGATTGTCTAGTTTTTGGTTTCTTGTTTGGTTTCATTTTTATTTAAATTAGATATATTTAGGGAAAATGCACCAACTTGAAAGTTAGTCACTGAAAGTAATATATGGTTAGATAAAAATGTTCTGACCATTCAGTGGTTTGTATGTGTTAACAGGTAATACTAAATTCTCGAATTTTGGAGTGTTTTTAAATGCTTTATTTAGCCAGAAGAATATGTAAAATGTGAGTGCTTCATATGAACTGTGTAAATTAATTGTGTATTAAAATACTTTTAGTATCAATTTGCTTTTTCCATTTTCATTGCTTTCTAGGTTTCCTTCTCAAACATCTTTCCCAACCTAATACCAGTATTTCTTTTTTCTTTTTAAGTGCTGTTTGATAATTTTTACATGGTTTCCCCCTCCATACCAAAATACCTTAGCCACACATTTTAGCTTTGGATTTCTTATATTGGAAAATTACAGCAGTTCTGTTTCCACTGTTCTGAGTGCTCTGCACTCAGTTCTTTACACGCAATTGTTTTGTGATTAATTTTGAAACTTTGGATAGCCCTTTTGTTTTTATTTTTTAATGTGCTTACTTCCAGTAGAAAGACCAGCCCAATTAAAGGTAATCAATCAAACTGCTTACATAGTAAGAAAACTAGTAATGTCTTTAATTTTTGTCACTCTGATAAGTTGGTTATAAACATTTATGAAATGAACCATTTTGTAGAAACATATTTCCTGTTTTGTAATGTGAAGATAGCTTCATCCAAAACTAGTAATCACCCCTAAATAATGTACAGTACTTTCTAAAAAAATTTAAAGAAAAAATATATGGCGGAGGTTTCCTGGATTATATTATTAGTTCATCGAGCCTTTGCATCCAGTAATTTTTACTTTATTCATTTGAGAAAAGGAAAGACACGGCAGGAGCAGAGAGAGAAGGATAAGCAGACTCCTCACTGAGCAGGGAGCCAGACATGGGGTTCAATCCCAGGACCCTGAGAGCATGACCTGAGCCAAAATCAAGGGTTCACACTTAACTGACCAAGCCACCCAGGCATCCCAGCATCTGGGTAATTTTTACATGGTGGCAAAAGAATTACCTAACAATTTAGTAGCCCTGTGAAAAAGGAAAAGAACTTTTATTTCACTATTAAACACAGTTACCAATGGGATATGTGAAAATTATTGTACAACTCAAAACCTTGAGTCCTATTGGCTGCCATCACCCTCACAGTCACCTGTGTATCAAACTGCTCATATAACTATTTGTAGAGAAATTACTTCAGGTAACTTAAAAACTAATTTGCACATGTCTAGCAAGTTACACTCTACAAAAGAAACTTTAAAAAGTTATAAATTCTGTAATCCTACTGTTAGTAATAATATTGGTAATGTTTGAAACTAAAAGTTAAGTACTAAAGGGTAATTATGTACATTTCTGCTGAAGACAGAACTTCTTCCAATGGAATATTACTCAACTATAAAAAGGAACAAAGTACTGATAATGGTACAACATGGATGAAACCTGAAAATAAATGAAAAAGGCCAGACACAAAAGGCCACAGTATGATTCCATAGAATTATATGAAGTATCCAAAATAGGCAAATCCATAGAGACAGAGCCAATCCATTGCCAGAGGCTATGGAGAGAAAGAGAAGTAGGAAGTGACTGCTTAGGTTCAGGGTTTGCATTTGGAGCAGTGAAACATTCTGGAACTAGATCTGGTAATGGTTAATATTGTGACTAAATGCTACTGAAAACTTTTTTAAAGGCTAAAATTACACTATGTTGTGTATGTTATCAATAAAGGAATTCAAATTATTAAACTTTGGTAGTGAAGAATCCATTAGATATACATAATTGCACTTAAAAGCAGATTTATTAACAAATTATAAGCATAAAATTGACTTAATTGTAGTTCATATTAGCTACAACTTAGTCCTCACAATCTTAAAAATAAACTTTTTTCTACCATGTAAAACCTAGTCTTCCCTTAGACTTTTGAAAATTACTGTATTTTGATCCCTGAGAGTTATAAAAAGGAAGCTGGACTCCAGTGGCATCATTTGCCTGGTAACTGGGTCTTAATCCACTGTCCACAAAAACTGGTCCACGGCCACCTCCGTGTCCTTCCTGTACAGCTTTTACAAGAGGATAAATATATTTATTTGTTGATTCAGACTCCAGTTCAATTACTTCTCTGGCATAATCTTGGAATTCCTTCTCCTTTTCAGCCACAAGCGCTTCAGCAAGTCTGGAATACTCTAATTCTGCTTGTTTTTCTTGCTTTGCATTAAATTTATTTTTGGCCTGTTTGGGAAAGAAAGAAAATGCAAGGTCATGGTGGTGAGATCAATTTTCTATATATACATAGCATTTGAAGTTGCAGATATAATTTTCTAAACCTACTAATAGGTGACAAGTTCTGACTTAACTACACTTGGCCCTTGAACAACATGGGGGTTAGGGATGCCAGCACCTGGTACGGTAAAGAATTCCTGTATAACTTTTGACTTACCAAAACTTCTAAAAGCTTACTGCTGACCAGAAGCCTCACTGATAACATAAAGTTGACACAATTTGTATGCATATATGTGTTATATGCTGCATATACCTTTTTTTTTTTAATTTGGTGGGGCATATTTCTAGACTCTGGTTGGCTCATCTGCAAGGTTTTCATATGGTAGCAAATCTCCAGAAAACCTTCCAGTGTATGTGTGAAAAAAGAATCCATGTGTAAGTGGACTACCACAGTTCAAACCTTTGTTCATGGGGCACCTGTATATACTATAATTTCAGAAATTCTCCCATGCTTCTCAGTCCTATGCTCAAAGCAGTGGCTCAGTGGCTATATTGCATATATAGCCTTATGCAATGACATATCTTCAAACAATATAGCAGTGTAGTGAAAAGCATGAACTTTAGGTAAAAATCAACTGAATTTAGAATCCTGTTTCTAGCGGAAGTTGGGTAGCTCAAGTAGGTTAAAGGGTCTGCCTTTGGCGCAGGTCATGATCCCACATCCTGGGATCAAGCCCCATGTTGTTGGGCTCCTTGCTCAGTGGGGAGTCTGCTTCTCCCTCTCCTGCTCCCTCTGCTTGTGCTCTCTGTCAAATAAATAAAATCTTAAGAATTCTGTTTCTGGGATCCCTGGGTGGCGCAGCGGTTTGGCGCCTGCCTTTGGCCCAGGGCGCGATCCTGGAGACCCGGGATCGAATCCCACGTCGGGCTCCCGGTGCATGGAGCCTGCTTCTCCCTCTGCCTGTGTCTCTGCCTCTCTCTCTCTGTGTGACTATCATAAATAAATAAATTAAAAAAAAAAAGAATTCTGTTTCTACCGTTTATACAAAGGTGTACTTTGGCAGGTATAGAAGACCTACCGAACACTGTCTTCAACCCATCCGCTATTTTTTTTTTTAAAGTTCTTTCCACACCCAGTGTGGGGCTTGAACTCCTATGACCCTGAGATCAAGAGTGGCATGTTGTTCCAATTGAGCCAGTCAGGTGGCCTCCCCCGTCCCCAATTCTGAAGGAACTTACTCAAATCCACTGTTCTACGACAGTCCAATATACCATGTGATCCAGCCACATAAGATTAAGTTAGCAGTGAATATCTGAACTAAATTAAACCAATTGCATTTTCTTTTTCCAGGAATTTGAAGTTGTAGTAAGCGACATTTATCAATGTAGGCTGGTTGATCTGGAACTCGGTGGAGTAAGTACTCTAAGCAATTTACCAAAAGCCAATTTACATCTCACAATTTTCTCTTATAACTCTCTATATTTGCAAAAACATTGTTCGTTTAACTAATTAGATAAGGTGATTTTAATGAAATCCAACTGATAACTTTTTGTCTTAGCATTTTAAGAAATGCTGTTTGTCAAAAATTGAGTGATTCTACTTATGAATCCATTTAATATTCATGAAAATATTTTCCTAAATCAGTAACCAACACATAAAATAGTAGCCCAAACCTGATAACTACCATACGTTGAAATTTATAAATAGAACAACCATAACAATATGAAATACCATATTTTTATTAGTGCTACAATTCAAAATTAAGGTTATGAGAGACAGCAGGCATGAGTGGGGGGCGGTTGTAGAGGGAGAGGGGAAAGCAGACTCACTGCTGAGCAGGAAGCCCTATGGGGGACTGGATTTCAGGACCCTGGGATCATGACCTGAGCTGAAGGCAAGATGTTTAAATGACTGAGCTACCCAGGTGCCCCAAAGTTAAGGTTTATGTGCTTAAAAAAAAAAAAAAAAAAGGCTATGTGCTATTTGTTGAATTGGTAATACAGTATCAGGAGTTAGAAAAAGTAGAAAATGACCTTCAAAAAGAAGTACAGAAAGGAAGTGACAGTGGAAGGGATGGATCACATAATGCCTCAATTTTGATATGCATTAAGCATAAATAGATTTATAAAGGAACTTCTCTTTTTTTCTCAGCAGAGAAATTTTTAAAGTTTTAAAAAGTTTTTATTCAAATTTAATTAACATATATTATTGGCTTAAGAGGTAGAGGTCAGTGATTCATCAGTCTTATATAACACCCAGTGCTCATTACACCACATGCCCTCAATGTCCATCACCCAGTTAGTTACCCACCCCCCAACCCCCTCCTCTCCAGCAACCCCTAGTTTGTTCCCTATGATTAAGAGTCTCTTATGGTGTGTCTTCCTCTCTTGATTTCATCTTGTTTTATCTTTTCCTCTCTTCCCCTATGATCCTCTATTTTGTTTCTTAAATTCCACGAATGAGTGAGATCATATGGTAATTGTCTTTCTCTGATTGACTTCTTTTGCTTAGCATAATATCTCTAGTTCCATTCACATTGTTGCAAATGGCAAGATTTCATTTTTTTGATGGCTGAGTAGTATTCCATTGTGTGTGTGTGTGTGTGTGTGTGTGTGTGTGTGTTGATGGATATAAACATACCCAGTAATGCAACTGCTAGGTCATAGGGTAGCTCTGTTTTCAACTTTTTGAGGAGTCTCCATACTGTTTTCTAGAGTGGCTGCACCAGCTTGTATTGCCACCAACAGTGTAAGAGGGTTCCCTTTCTCTGCATTCTTGCCGACATCTGTCATTTCTTGACTTGTTAATTTTAGCCTTCTGACTATTGTGGTATCTCACTGTGGTTTTGATTTGTATTTCTCTGATGCCGAGTGATCTTGAGCACTTTCTCATGTGTCTGTTGGCCATTTGTATATTTTCTTTGGAGAAATGTTGGTTCATGTATAAAGAAACTTTTAAAGTACTGTTTTAAATTCCTAAGAATTATAACAGATGGGGGTAAAGTAATAAGCATCTTTAGAAGATTCTAGAGAGCTAATTATTTTGAATATTGGAAAATAAAAGGAATCAACTATTCTGTCTTTAAAAGCTGAACCTAAAAAAAAAAAAAAACAACAACAAACTGAACCTCAAGGAAACCAAACTGTTGATCATGAAAAGTTCTTTGAAGACTTCAAATGAATATAAGAAGAAATGAGAGATTATCAATATCTTGTCACCTCATGAACCAAGAGATCTAAACAATAATCAAAGGCTGTTCATGTCACAGAAAGTGACAAGTCGTTATGTGCCTTCGGATGCAAGTATACAACACCACATAAGAGGAATTTTAACCAAAAAATTTGAATCTGTTTCTGACCTCAACTGGATTTTACCTGAAATGCAGGAAACATAATAAACTATACCACAAGGATTCAACCATAAAAGTCCAGACTATAGTAATTCCAAAAACAAGCAACCCTATAAGCCATTAAATCCCCAGCTCAAGTGGTGAAAACTTACAGGTCTGCTGGACAATGATGTTAGAATCCATTTGGATTGGGTAGCAAAGTAGCTAGAAATTTAAGGGGAGATTCTGGGAGTGAGATGGGCATAGAAGGGCTGAAATAATAAACTCTATAGACATCTTTGACTCATTGATAAACTACACATTCACACAGGAGACCCCAGGGAGCTTAGCAAAAATTAAAAGTCTGGAGGAAATTGTGAATTTGCTGTTCTTAAGAATAACATCTTCAACCCACACACAGCTTGTGTAGCAGGGGTAAAAGCATTACTGGCTTAACATCACTGAATTAAACTTAAACTCCACCCACATTATTGGTTGGCTGTCAAACTATCAATCTGCTGAAAGCCAAAAATAAAGAGAAATTTTTGAAACCAGCAAGAGGAAAATAATAGATTTAGGGGACCAAAAATATGATTAACAGCAGATTTCTAATTATAAACAATGAAAGTCAGAAGACCATAGAACAATATATTAAGAGGGCTGGGGAAAAATGGTATCCAGTAATTTTATACCCAATTAAATGAAGACAAGACATTTCCACAAACACATAAAAAAAGGAAATCATGTGGGATGCCTGGGTAGCTCAGCAGTTGAGTGTCTGCCTTTGGCTTAGGTCATGATCCCGGACACCCGGGATCGAGTCCCACATCGGGCTTCCTGCATGGAGCCTGCTTCTCCCTCTGCCTGTGTCTCTGCCTCTCTCTGTCTCTCATGAATAAATAAATAAATGTTTTTAAAAAATGGAAATAATTTATTGCTAGCCCACCTATGCTATAATACATGCTAAAGGAGTCTTCAGATTGAATAGACATGGCCAATAAACATGAAAAGATGCTCAACATCACTAATTATTAGGGAAATACAAAGGAAAACCACAAGAGAAATCCTCTTCAAGCCTATTGCTATGGCTATTATAAATAAACCACAAAACCATTAACAACAAATCTAGAGCACAACAAATGTTGAGAATTTGTAAAAATTGGAACCTTAAATATTACTGTTTGGGATGTTAAATGGCAGAGTGTTCGAGAGAAAACAGTATGGTTATTTAAGGGGGCACCTGGGTGGCTTGGTTAAGCATCTGACTCTTGATTTCAGCTCAGGTCATGATCTCAGGATCCTGGGATCCAACCCTGGATAGGGCTCTGTACTTAGTGCCTCCTGACCCTTACCCCACTTGGACACTCTCTGTCCTGCCCCCTGCTTCCTCTTTCTCACTCAAAATAAGCTAAAATCTGGGGCAGCTGGGTGTCCCAGTTAAGTATCTGCCTTTGGCTCAGGTCATGATCCCAGGGTCCTGGGATCGAACCCAGCTTCAGGCTCCCTGCTCAGTGCGGAGTCTGCTTCTCCCTCTCCCTCTGCCTGCTGCTCCCTCTGCTTCTGTGCTCGCTCGCTCTCTCAAATAAAGAAGTAAAATCTTAAATAAATAAATAAATAAAATCTTTTAAAAAGAATAGTTAAGTGGTTCTTTAAAAAGTTAAACCTAGGGATCCCTGGGTGGCGCAGCGGTTTGGCGCCTGCCTTTGGCCCAGGGCGCGATTCTGGAGACCCCGGATCGAATCCCACGTCGGGCTCCCGGTGCATGGAGCCTGCTTCTCCCTCTGCCTGTGTCTCTGCCTCTTTCTCTCTCTCTCTCTCTCTCTCTCTCTCTCTGTGTGTGTGTGTGTGTGTGTGACTATCGTAAAATAAATAAAAATTTAAAAAATAAATAAATAAATAAAAAGTTAAACCTAGGGGATCCCTGGGTGGCTCAACAGTTTGGCACCCGCCTTCAGCCCAGGGCATGATCCTGGAGTCCCGGGATCAAGTCCTGCATCAGACTCCCTTCATGGAGCCTGCTTCTCCCTCTGCCTGTGTCTCTGCCTCTCTCTATCTGTGTCTCTCATGAATAAATAAATAAAATATTTAAAAAAAAAAGTTAAACTTAGAATTACCATATGATCTGGCATTCTATTTCTGTGTATATAGACAAAAGAACTGAAAGCAGGACTCAACAGATATTTGTATACCAATATCCACAGAAGCATTATTGCCAAAAGATGGAAACAACCCAAATGTCCACTGATGGATGTGTGTATAAACAAATGTGGTATATACATACAATGGAATATTATTCAGCCTTAATAAAAAAAAGGAAACTCTGACATACACTGCAACAGAGATGAATCTCGAAGATATTATGCTAAGTAAAATAATATAGATACAAAAGGACAAATATATGATTCCATTAATATGAGGTACCTGGAATATTCTTTTTTTTTTAAAGGTTTTTATTTATTTAATCGAGAGACAGAGACAGAAGCAGAGACACAGGCAGAGGGAGAAGCAGGCTCCATGCAGGGAGCCAGATGTGGGACTCAATCCGGGGTCTCCAGGATCACGCCCTGGGCTGTAGGTGGCGCTAAACTGCTGAGCCACCAGGGCTGCCCTGGAATATTCAAATTCATAGAGACAGTAATTAGAATAGTGATCAGGGGCTGGGAGAAAGGGGAAAGAAATGTAAAGGAACAGAATTTCAGTGTACATGATGAAAAAGTTATGGAGATGGGTAGTGGTAATAGTAAATGCACTTAATGGCCCTGAAGTGGTACCGTGAAAAACGGTTAAAATGGTAAATTTTATGTTACATATATTCCACCACGTTGAAACACAATAATAAGAAAACAACCCAGGGGCGCCTGGGTGGTTCAGTCAGTTAAGTGTCTTAGGAGCCTTAGGCTCCTGTCAGGATTCTAGGATCCTGGGATCAAAGACCAAGTTGGGCTCCCTGCTCAAGGGGGAGCCTGCTTCTCCTCTCCCTCTGCCGCTCCCTCTGCTTGTGCTCTCTCCCACTCGTCTCTCAAATAAATAAAATCTTAAAAGAAAAAAAAAACTCAGTTGAATAATTGGCAAAAGATTTGAATACATACCTCCTAAAAGAAGGCACACAAATATCAATAAAGGACATAGCTTTAGTCATTAGGAAAATGCAAAACAATACAAGAAATCACTACACTAGAAATAGTTAAGAGATCACAAACACAAGGATGATGAAGATGTGGAACAACTTGTCCTCACGTACGTTGCTGCTAGGAATGGAAAATGGTATAGCCATTTTGGAAAAATAGTTTTAAGTCATAAATGATTGCACACCAGGTCCTTTATACATGTTCTAAAATCTCTGGTACCCCTATTCACCCCAACTCTGAAACCTATGAGATCCTAATTATCTCTGGGCTATAGTTATAAAGAGGGGGAAAAGTAAAAGGAAGAAGGTAAGCATCATGGCCTGCCATATGCATTTGCATTTTCTTTAATATTTACTAAAGCATAATAGACACTGAAAAAGGATAAATATTTGTGCAAAAGACATAAACCTAGTATTGGAACTTCATACAGATAAAAAGATAAATGAACTCTTCATATGTTTAATATATTTTATTGTGTCGTAACTATATCGATCATCTGATCTGATTTGATAAAGGAAACCACCTGGGAAACAAAACCAGCATAAACTCTACATTACATATTTATTGTTAAAATAAGTATAAATAGGGATCCCTGGGTGGCGCAGCGGTTTAGCGCCTGCCTTTGGCCCAGGGCGCGATCCTGGAGACCCGGGATCGAATCCCACATCAGGCTCCCGGTGCACAGAGCCTGCTTCTCCCTCTGCCTATGTCTGCCTCTCTCTCTCTCTCTCTCTCTCTCTCTCTCTCTCTCTGTGGACTATCATAAATAAATAAATATAAATAAATAAATAAATAAATAAATAAATAAATAAATAAATAAAAAATAAATATAAGTATAAATATTTAAGAATAATTACCATTTGCTGAATATGGGCATCTCGAACTTCTCGATGTTCTTTATCAGCTTTGCGTTTTTTCTCCTTTTCATGCTCCTGGAAAATCTGATCTGCTTTCATGATAGCCAGCAATTGTTCTTTAGCCTCTAGTTTTCTCTGTCTTTCTTCTTCCTCTTTATTTTTCATCTAGGTGTTAAAGCGCAAAGGGAAAAAAAAAATTTTTATCAACCAGTGCTCTCTAATAAAGCATAGTTAGAAGGCTCCAAGCAGAAAGCCAGGAGCAATGCAAAGGCAGAAAATTACATACCCCTGGGCTGATTCCCACCTGTCCAGTTTACTTTGGTTTTGTTTTATTTCTAGAACAACAGGTAACATACAATGAAACCTGAGTGATACTGGTTTAAAAAATAAATACAGGAGCAGAATAGCAAGATCTTTCCAAGGTAAAAAATGAATTGCGACAATGTTTATAAACTATCTAACTTAAATGTTGTGATGGCCAATTATGTAGGAGATAAGGATTATCTGAAGGATTAAGAAATAAGGAAATGCAATGGGGTAATTTTTATTTGGTCTTAAAAAACATTGAAATGTATACTAAGTGAATAACAATTTTTGCATTTTAGATGGCTCTGAAACAGAAGAGATTATTATTTTGCATCTATCAATATCTTACTTATAATTGATTATCATGTGATCTGCTAGAAAGTAAACATGGTCTAGTTTCAAGAATATAGGAAGATAATTCATACGTTGTTTTCCAAATCTTTTCTAGGTTTTTATCCAGCAGTGAGTGGAAACTACAATGGAAAGGACTTAAATTTGTTTGTTTTTTTTAATTTTTATTCATCATAATTGAATTGCTTACCACAACAGCTCTATATTCTGCAATTGCTTTTAATTCTGCTTTGTTTTTTTCATATTTTTCTTTTTCTCTTTTTTCCCATTCAGCCTCAGCCTCTGCAATATCTCTAGCAATAATCAAATCTTCATTGTCAAGTTTCTCTTTTAGTAGCTCACTCAGGAAGTTATTTATTCTTTCTCTCCTTTCTTCCATTAGCCTATAACAAAATAACCATCACTTGTTAAATCTTCATGAATAGATTTATTTTGGAGCCAATATAATTACATTAGAAATTGGATCTTTTATAGTCTTTTACAAGACTAAAAGGAGGCCAACTGCTCTTTCTATGTACTGATGAAGTGGAAACTATTTTTAATACTTTGTTTAGAATAAAGTATCTTTTAAAAATCCAAAGGGAGTAATGCATATAATAATATCTTCTGTATGTATGTGCACATGTGCACATGTATGTGAAGAAATAAAGTATTAAAATTCTCACAATGAAAAAATTTTCAAAGTACTTCGTCAGATACCCTCTTTATCATTGGAGGCTTAGGTTATAAAATAAATCAAAGGCCTTTCTTTGAATGAAATCTCAAAATATCAAGTAAAAGTTATCAAAATCCTGAATAAATCCATCCTCTTACTATATAGCCTGTTTACAACCTATTAATAGCACTTTAACGACTTCATCTATTTATATGAAGGTAGACAACTATGTTTTTACACTATGAGATTCCTGAGGTCAGAGAATGGGTCAGTCCTCTCTCTAGTTCAGAGCCAAGCATGGTGCCTGACACATAACAATAACTAGGTTATTTGTTAAAAGAATAGGGGCATTTTCATTTAGAGTAGGGCAAAAAATACTTTTAAATTTAGATGCAACAGATTCATTAATTTACTGAGTGAATTTGTAAAGCAATGTGGGAGAAACGATAAGAAAGGACACAGTGCATATCCCAAGGAAATCACAGTCTAAAGTGGAGAAAAGACATTTATGCAAATAACTATAAACACCAAAGGGTGATATATGCCATGAGAAAGCTAGAAAGTGATATAGGCAGATGAGAAAAAAGGAAAGCTTCATGGGAAAGGTGATATTGCATCTAGACTTTCAACAATATTCCTAAACACTTTACTGATTGCCAGCTATGTTCCAGACACTATTCCAGGTGCTGGGGACACAACAGTAAACAAAAACATTAAAGATCTGTTCTTCTAGAACACTCTAGCTGGGGTACAGTGATAGTGAACAAAATAAATAGTTAAAATAGTGCTATCTCTCGAAATGAAAAAGAAAGCAATTAAGTGGATAAGCAATGGGGGAGGGGGGGTGGAGCTGTAATTTTAATTAAGGTAGTCAGTGAAAGCCTGAATGAGAAGACAACATCTGAGTAATGATCCTTTTGAAAGAGTTTAGGGAGGTCAGCATTCCCCAGAGAGGATCCAGTGTGAGTGACGAAGAGGCAAAGGAGAGAATAGTACAAGATGAAGTCTCAGAGGTGAGGCTGGGGTCAGCTAGCAATTAGGATGGTGGAGAGCCTTATGGGCCTTAGTATATACTCTACATGTGATATAAAGCCATTGGAACGTTCTGCACAAGGAAAAAGTAGGATCTAGACAGAAACACAATGTACTGCAATTGGCCCCCTCTCCTCTCCTACCTCATCCCAAACTTCTAAGGTAAGAAATGACCTCCATATCTGATGGACATTTCATTTTTAAAATCTCACTTAGGGGTGTCTGGGTGGTGCAACTGGTTGAGTGTCTGACTCCTGGTTTCCACTCAGGTTATGATCTCAGGGTTGTGAGATCGAGCCTCCCATTGGGATCCATGCTCAGTGCAGAGTCTGCTTAAGACTCACTCTCCCTCTGTCCTCCCCCTCCCTCTCTCTGTCTCTAAAATAAATAATAAATAAATCCTTAAAAAATAAAATTTCATTTAATCCCTCTATTGATGTAATACCAATGACTGCTCTCTTCTTATTGAGACTCTCCTTTCTTGTTTCTCTGATTTTCTTCCAATTTCTGGAAACTATTCTTTGATCTTCACATGATCTTTTCTCCATTTGACCCTTAAATATGGGCTTCCCAAGGGACTATGCCACTTTCATTTCTTACCTACTCACCATAGGTGAGGTCACCTGTGTCCACTGTTCTAACTACCTACCATTTATATATCAATGGCTCACAAAGGCATCTCCAGCTCATATCCCTCTCCTATAGCAGAGATTTCACTATTTCCAACCATCAACCAGATAGATGTTCTTGATATTCTAAGGGAACCCTAACTTTGAAGTCACATCACTAATTGCCGAGTTATATATAATGACTTTTTCTTAAAAACTATTCTCATATCACTTCTGATTTATAATAATTTCAAATAGTACTTTATTAATTACATCAATTATTTTTAAAAGGTTACCTGTGTGTTTCAGCTTCTTTTTCTTTCCCCATTTGTATAAGACGCTTTTTTGCTTTGATAAATTTCCTAATCTTTTCATCTTCCTCCTCTTGCTGCTGCAGTTCTACGGCTTTGATGATATTCTTATCATTCATATGTTCCTTGAGGGAAAAATTATGTATTATCCTATTACAAAGAAAAATATCTTTTGACATACGAGTATCTAACAAGAACCTGTCAAATGGTCATAGCTTTTGACTCAGTTATTTCTCTCTTGGGAATTTATACCAAAGAAACAATCAGAGATACACATTAAGCTTTATGTACCATGTACTTTATCTCAAAGTTATTTATTAGAGTGAAAAAATGGAAACAACCTCTAAATCTCTAATAATGAAGAAACAGTTAAATTATACTCTCAATGATATGGGAAGATACAAATAATATAATGGGGAAGTGGGGGTGGAAGGAGAATATAAAACAGTACATAATAGCATATTTCAGTTTTGCAAACATATAGGTACAAGTTTATAATGTATATACTACTAGAAGAAATGTATCAAATGTTAACAGTTATCTCTGGGGTATGAGATTATATATGTGACTTTTCATCTTAATGCTTTCCTGTATTTCAAATATTTCATTTCTTAAAAAAATGTAATTAAAAATAATTCTAGGGGGAAAGTTGGTGAATCAGTTAGGCAGCCAACTCTTGGTTTCAGCTGGGGTCATGATCTCAGGGTCCTGGTATGCAGCTCCAGGTCAGGCTCCCTGCTCAGCAGGGAATCTGTTTCTCCCTCTGCCCCTCCATTCTCTCTCTCTCTCTCTGTTTCATAAATAAATAAAATCTTTAAAAATAAACAAATCTTAAAAAATAATACTATAATCATAAAAAATACATTAAGTGTTTTCATTGATTTTCATTTACTGTTTAATTAATATAGTTATATGGTACACAGTATAAAATGTCCTTCCTTCCCCCATCCAATGTCTGCCTATATTCCTAATTCCCCCACCAGACTTGATCACTGTGAATCAAGTTTCTTGTCTAGACTTTCTTTTCCCATATACACAAGAAAAGATATAGATACATATTCTAACAGAAAATTTTAATATGGTTCATTATTTTTCAAGACAAAAAATAAAAATTTGTTCATATCAGCATATATCCACGTCCCCATTCTGAATTAGTTATCATAAAAATAGGTGCCTTTGAACACAATAGCCTGGATATATAGATATATTAGTGTATTCGGTTACTAGAAGTAGAAACCAATTCAAGGTGAAAGATGCAATGTTTAATCTTCCAATATATTTATAACTCAGGGTTTACTATTGCCTAGCATTCTTAAGTACTCTCCTATTTTATGTCTATTACTTTGAAAAGCCCATAATCTGGTTAAGAGAAGCATTAGTCAACACGAAAAGCAAATGCCAATGTCAAACTGTTAAAAGTGACTAATTTTGGATGATTTCTTTTCCTGATTTTTTCTAAGTTTATTGTAATGTTTATACAGATTTGTTTTATAATAGGAAAGAACAGACTTAATTAACACAAAGTCAATTCTCATCTTTAGAAGTTGAAAGCCTCAGCTCAAGGTTACATAGCTAGTTAGTGGCAGAGTTAGCATTCAAAGGTCTGTCCCATTCCAAAGTGTCTTGGAGAGACAAAAATATTGCATCCATGAAATAAGAATAAGATTTTAGGCTAAAAGGAACAATAACATTACAGGTAAAACTCTTACAAATTAAGACTTTGGTAGCTAAATTTATTTTTTTAAGATTTATTTATTTATTTGAGAGAGAGAGAGAGAGTGAGGGGAGGGGGGAGGAGCAGAGGGAAAGGAAGAGAGAAAATCTCAAGCAGACTGCACTGACTTGGGGTTCAATCCCATGACCCTGAGATCACGACCTGAGCTGAAATCAAGAGCCATATGTTTAACGGACTGAGCCTCCCAGGTACCCCTTGGTAGCTAAATTTAAAATTCAATACAAAGTTTAAAAGACAAAGTTGAGAGTAACTCTCAAAGTCAAATAAAACCCCAAAATGGCAGGAACAATTAATTGCCTACCCAAGATTCTTTCTTCTTTTCTGCATTAGTAACAAGACCTAGATTTTGTTCACAGTGGAAGCATGCTCATCAAAAAAAGACTATATTTCCAAGCTTTCTTTTCAGCTAAGTGTGACTAATTATGACCAACGAGATTCAGTGGGAAACTTCTGAAATGTTCTTTAGAAGGAGAATAGATAGTTGGGCATCCTTTTTTGTCCTTCATCTTTTTTTCCTTCTTGCTGCCTGGAATGTGGATATGAGGGGAGGAGGTTCCAACAGTCATTCAGGGTCATGGGGCAACTTTGAGGACAGAAGTCATCTACGTTCCAAGAATAGCAAAGCAAAACAAGAAGAGCTGTTTCAGTCCGTATTGATTCTGAAGTTGCCATATCAGCTTTGGAATGACTACTACTGTGCTTCAAAGTTTTAATTTCTTTAAGGTATTATTATCTTTGAATTTCCCTTAAAATGAGGAAGTTTTTGGGTTTTTTTAAATTACAACATCAATTCAGAAAGTCCAATGTGTATCAGAGGGGTTCTAGAACAGAAGAGACAAAATGGAAGACTATACAAGAAATAAAGTAAGATGGGGCAGCCTGGGTAGCTCAGCGGTTTAGCGCCGCCTTCAGCCCAGGGCCTGATCCTGGAGACCCGGGATCGAGTCCCGTGTTGGGGTCTCTATATGGAGCCTGCTTCTCCCTCTGCCTGTATCTCTGCCTCCCTCCCTATCTCTCTTTCTCCCTCTCTCTGTGTCTCTCATTAATAAATAAATAAAATCTTAAAAAAAAAAAAAAAGAAAGTAAGAAGGGACGCCTGGGTGGCTCAGCAGTTGAGCGTCTGCCTTTGGCTCAGGGCGTGATCCCACGGTGTCAGAATCGAGTCCCACCTTGGGCTCCCTGCATGGAGCCTGCTTCTCCCTCTGCCTGTGTCTCTCCCTCTCTCTGTGTGTCTCTCATGATAAATAAATAACTTTTTTTTTTAAAAGAAAGAGTTTCCAGAATGAAAGGAATATACCTCTCCAGATTGAATGCATCAACTGAGTGCTCAACAAAATAATAAAAAAGAACTATATCAAAGTATGTCATGTAAAATAAAGACCCAGAAATCTTTCATAAAGAGAGGGAAAGAAAAATAAAATACAACAGGTCACATAAGTAGGCTAAAGACCCTAAATGGCAACATATTTCTCAACAGCAATACTGGAAGTCAGATGATCATGAAACTATGAATACAAAATTCTGAATTCTGAACCAGAATTCTGTATCTAGTCAAACCATAAAGCAAATATGACTTTAAATGATAATCTTTTCAAGTAAGAAATTTAAAAGTTAACCTTTACCCCTTCTTAGAAAGTTACTCGAAGGGGTGCCTGGGTGACTCAGTGGGTTAAGCAGCTGCCTTTGGCTCAAGTCATGATCCTGGGGTCCTGGGATGGAGCTGCAAATCAAGTGGGGCTCCATGCTCAGTGGGGAGTCTGCTTCTCCCTTTGCCTCTCCCCCTCCCCTGCTCATGTTCACTCACTCTCTCAAATAAATAAATAAAATCTTAAAAAAAAAAAGTTACTTAAAGATGTATCTCAGTAAGATGAAGAAGTAAGCCAAGGAAAAGGAAGACATGTGATTCAGGAAATGGGAACTGCAGCCCAGGAAAGTGAGCCAGGGAAGTTCCAGAGTGACATCTGTGCAGGAAGCCTAGAGGATAAGCAGTCCAGAAGTAAGAGAAGGATAGAGGACTTGGATGGAGGAGCTCTAAGAAAACCATTTAATATAGATACTTTAATATTAGATGAATATTCATTGTTTAAGATTATTTATTGAGACAGAGTGCACACACAAGTGAGGTGGAGGGGCAGAGGAAAAGGGAGGATCAAATTCCCTGAAGAATTCCTTAGATGAATATTTGAAAACTATCAAATATTTGAATATTGAAAAATATCCTTAGATGAAGAATTCCTTAGATGAATATTTGAAAACTATCAATATTTGAATATTGAAAAATATCAATATACATTTGACAGAACTTATAGAACATATGGAAAAAAAACAGGTATATAAGCATCAAAGCAAATACACAGACAACTATTTTAATCATAAAAAATGTATGCAAGCAAAGAAATATAATCATAGTATATGACTTGGCTCTTCAGAGAATATTTATATAATAATAATGATTTAGCTAAAATTGTGACATAATTATTTTAGGGAAAGGGGAGAATGGCCAGATGGACAGAAAATGTCTAAATTGATAAATCAAGATACGTATCTTTAGAACTTGATATGTATTTTTAAAATATACAGATTATTTAGAATATAATTTCATATCAGAACAAACACCAAAAAGAACCTGGAAGTGGCTGTCTTCATGAAGCTACTCTTCTTTTAAGCCTCTGGTAGTGTTTGATGTTTTAATTCTGTGCATGTATTACTTAAGAATAAAAACTAATCTTAAAGAAAAGAATGTAAAAAATTATAAGATAAAGTTAGTTGCAATAGGCACAAAATAACCACTATGTTTATCAAACACTTAATAACATTGAGGCAGACCCAAACACACATCACCCCATTCATTCCTCGCATCTCTCATTTAAAGGATAAGAAAACATGTTCACTTGAAAATAAAGTCTCATTCTCTTTTCTCGTTCATACATGAGAGCATGCCCACAAAAATTCATAGTAAATACAGTTCTCCCAAGAGTATACTTCGAAACCCAACTTAATAGCTCCACAATATTTTACCAAAAAAATATTAAAAGTTAGTCATTGGATTTTATATATTTTTTGAAGAAGTACTGTATTTTCAACTTACAAAAAACAGTTTTCTGCTTTCATTTATATCTTCTTTTTTCTTTTCTAGTTTTTTCCTCATTTCTAATTCATATAATGAATTCTGTCGCTTTATTTCTTCAGCATCCTTTTCTTCATGTTTTCTCCTTCTTTCTTCCTCTTCTTCATGTTCCTTGATTCTAAAGCAAAAACATAACTAAAGTTGAAAGCAAAGCAGAAAAATAGATATTTTAATTTTTATTTATTTTATGATAGTCAGAGAGAGAGAGAGGCAGAGACATAGGCAGAGGGAGAAGCAGGCTCCATGCACCGGGAGCCCGACATGGGACTCAATCCGGGGTCTCCAGAATTGCACCCTGGGCCAAAGGCAGGCACCAAACCGCTGCGCCACCCAGGGATCCCAGAAAAATAGATATTTTAAAGAAATGAATTAGATTGTAACCTGGGGTTATTTGAAGCTGTGGGGAAACTTGTGAATTTCTTTGGGCACAAGAAAGATATATAAAGAGCAGTGATTAAAGCCAAATTCAATTTTGGTTAGCCCAGAATTGCCAGTGTTTTCCTTTCTCCAAAATTTGTTTCACTCCTAACCAAAATTAAGTCCTACACTAAATTCAAATGTTCCTTTCCTTTAGAAAGAACTAGCTAACTGAATGACATATAGTGGAATGGGGACATTATTTTACAGAAAAGCCCTTAATCTCTAGTGTTTCTCAATTTCAGCACTACAGATCTAGCCTCTTAGGCAATGGGGTTTCCCTGCCCAACTAACCACTCTGGTTGTCATTCTTTCTCTAGCCAACATTCACCTGCTATTAATGCCATCTGAGTGGTAAGCCATACAGGGCTCATGTGTGAGTTCCTCAGAGATCACTGAGCACCCTCCTTACTGAAGGGCTGTGATCTGGGAGATTTAGCTCCAGCACTTCCTCTTCCACCCACCTTCCCAGCCCCATCACCATCACTACCATGAGCTTCCACCATCAGTACTTTATTGCAAACTCTGAGTGCCCTCCTCTGGCGACCAATCCTATGCATGCTGGCAAGGCAGCTCAGCCTGAGATGCCTACTTGCCTGTGCATCCTTGTCAGCCAATCAAGTGTGCAGACTGTTCCACTGCTATTCTCAATCTGCTGTCCCTATTTTTTTTCTTCCTGAATAGGTAGACACAGGATAGATCAACAACATACTTAGATAAAAAGACTGCAGTATAAACCTTTCTTTTCTTTTCTTTAAGATTTTATTTATTTATTCATGATAGTCACACAGAGAGAGACAAAGAGGCAGAGACACAGGCAGAGGGAGAAGCAGGCTCCATGCAGGGAGCCCAACGTGGGATTCGATCCCGGGTCTCCAGAATCACGCCCCGGGCCAAAGGCAGGCGCCAAACCAGCTGTGCCACCCAGGGATCCCTAAACCTTTCTTTCATATGCATCCAATCCAAAAGAATTTTTTCTTGGAGTCCCATCACTCAGCTTTAGAGGGGAAAATTTCCTTCCCCTGTGCCATGGAGGACTACACAGTTAAGTGAGCCAGGAAGTTCACTTTGGTATTATTAAGCAGGACAAGAGATTCCCAGATGATTCATCCATCTGTACAGAGTAAGCAGCCTTAGAGCCAAAGTCACTTTCTCTAGGAAGAGCTAAGAAAAAAGTCACTATTGGCTATAGCTAAACCAGGTTTATATGGTTGCCTGAAAAACACTAGATTTTCAAAAAATGTTTTTGTTTAGTAGGCATTCTTAGAAGCAAAGAAGATTCTTTGAGCTGGTAAGAAACCCACAGATAAAGAATGGGAGAACAAAATTCCAGACAGAGGGAAAAACATGTGAGAAGACCCTGAAGCAAGCAAAGGTTTGACAAGTGTGCAAGACCTGGAAGATAGGTATGATAGAAGTGAAGAGAAGGAGTGGTAGGAAAGGAGGTTGAGAAGAGGAGGCCAGATCACACAAGGCTTTGCAGGAGATGGTTGTTTCCATTCTATTTGATTTATTTATTTATTTATTTATTTTTAAGATTTTATTTATTCAAAACAGACACACAAACACAGAGAGAGAGAGAGAGAGGCAGAGACACAGGCAGAGGGAGAGGCAGACTCCATGCAGGGAGCCCGACGAGGGACTCGATCCCGGGTCTCCAGGATCAGACCCTGGGCTGAAGGCGGCACCAAACCGCTGGGCCATCGGGGCTGCCCTCCATTCTATTTTATTTTATTTTATTTTTTTCCTCCATTCTATTTTAAATGAATGGAAAGTCACTGAAAAGTTTTACGTAGGAGAATAATATGGTCAATTTTTATTTTAATAAAATCTCTCTGGATGATGAAAGAAAAGGGACTTAAGAAGAGAGAACTGAAGGCCAGTTAAGGTGTTGATGCAATAATCCATGGGAAGTGAGAGTGGACTAAGATGACAGCAGTAACTTTAAGATTCATACTGGAGAAAAAAGATTAACATCAATTGCTGATAGATTTGATGTTGAAAATAAGGGAACATGATGAATAAAGATGTATTCCTCGGTTTCTGATTTGAACAACCAAGTGGATAAAGATGCCACTAGAAAGTCCACTGTGGGGGTGGAGAATAATAAAAAATGCTAAATGCTTATTTCATCCTAGACATTTTTTTAAAAGATTTTATTTATTTATTCATGAGAGACCCACACAAGGAGAGAGAGAGGTGCAGAGACACAGGCAGAGAGAGAAGCAGGCTCCATGCAGGGAGCCCAATGTGGGACTCAATCCCAGGTCTCCTAGACCACGCCATGGGCCAAAGGCGGTGCTAAACCGCTGAGCCACCCGGGATCCCGATGCTAGACATTTTAAATTTGAGATATAGATAAGACAAATGAATATGTCTTAAAGGCAGCTGGATATGTGAAGCTGGGACTCAAAGGAGTGGTCTGAACTAGAGTTAAAAATGTGAAAGTTACAAGATTTAAGATGGATTTTTAATCATTAGGAATGAAGATCACTTAAGCTTTCATATCTCTCTCTGCTTTTTCTCTAGATGATCATATCCATGGGAAAGTGATGCAAACAATCCTATGATGATTTTTCCTTCTTTTGAGAAGCTGATGAGATTAATAGTAACAGAGTTGTTCTCAAGCAAGGTCTACTGGCCCCTTCCCAGAGAAAGATTTGCCTATCAATAGAAGTAAGTAGAATGATATGCAGTATCTACATAAAAATTAAATTCTGTTAAATTTCTTTTTGAGAATTATGTTTAAGGTTCTTGGTCAAGGGATCCCTGGGTGGCGCAGCAGTTTAGCGCCTGCCTTTGGCCCAGGGCGCGATCCTGGAGACCCGGGATCGAATCCCACATCAGGCTCCCGGTGCATGGAGCCTGCTTCTCCCTCTGCCTGTGTCTCTGCCTCTCTCTCTCTCTCTCTCTCTGTGGGACTATCATAAATAAAAATAATAAAAAAAAAAGATAAGGTTCTTGGTCAAAATCCCTCCATTTAGGGATTTTGGTGTCACTAGAGTCCTTTATTGGCCCCATCCTCATTATGCCCAGCCAAAGGCAGATTCTTATGCTGCTCAAAGCCCAACAATGGAATAGACTGCCCAGGTCTGCAGTTTAGAGATTGTTTTAAAAATGTGTGAAAAATCTCACTTTCAGGCACAGGGCTAGCAGCTGTATAGTGTGTTTTAGCTATCCGTTGCTAAGAAATTATCCCTAAACTTAGTGGATTAAAACAATAAACATTTATTATTTCACGCCACTTCTGAGATTCAGGAAGCTGGGAGTAGCTTAGCTGGCTGTTCTCCAGAGGTTGCAGTCAAGATGTTAGTTGGAGTAGTAGATATCTGAAGGCTTGACTGAGGATGGAGAATCCATTTTTACATATCTCTTGGCAGGAGGTCTCAGCTCCTTGCCACATGCACCTCTCCATAGAGCTTCCTGAGTGTCCTTACACCATGGCTCCTCAAGAATGAGTGATCCAATATATCAAGGAGGAAGCTACAATGCCTTTTATATCCTAAACTCTTTCAGGAGATCATACACCATCACTCCTATTTATTCTCCTCACTGGAAATGAGTTACTCTATATAGCTTCACAGTCAAGGGAGGAAGGAATTAGATTCCACCTAAGGAGTATCAAGGAATGTGTAGAGGAGTATCAAAGAATGTGTGGCCATATTTTAAATCACCACCAGGTAATACCCAAATAGCACTTGTTAATATATTTAAGGGCATGCAAAAGACTCTTGCCTCTTGGCATCCTCCAATTTCCATTTCTTTGTGATTAAGAGAATTAAAATATGGTCTTTGCTCAAAGCAGAAACTTATTCCAAATTTTGGCACACCTTAGACACATGGCCTATAAGGCACATCATGACCTGGCCCTTGTCTCTCTCTTTCCAATCTCATCTTTAACATTGCCCTCTTAGTCATCTTGACTACTTGTAATTACCCAAATCCACCATAATCTAACTCACTTTTGGGTCTTCACCCATGCTAATTCCTCTCTTTAAAATACTCCTACATCCCCACTATTTGCATGACTTATTCCTACTCAGTTTTGATACTTTGGTGATGGAACTGATCTTTTCTAAAAATTAGCCTTCTCTAGACTAGATCAGATGTCCATTTTATATGCTTCCACATATCCTGTGCATCTATTTGCCAAAATATCTACTGTCAAACCCTAATTATTTGTTCCATATTTATAGCTTCCTTCCCAGATTGTGAACTTCTTAAAGAAAAAAGACAATTGTATTCATTTTCATATTCTTAGTTACTAGATTAGTGGCCAGCAAATGGAGATTGTCCAATAAATGTTTGTAACAATGAATGGATGATTGGATAAATGAATTTATTCACAAATGAAATAAACAGCCTATTTAAAAAATTGTCCCCTGAATAGACTCTTATTTAAATTTTTTCCTCTTTTTTAGTTTTATTTTTTTTTAAGATTTTATTTATTTATTAATGACACACACACACAAACACACAGAGGCAGAGACGCAGAGGGAGAAGCAGGCTCCATGCTGGGGGCCAGACGCGGAACTCGATCCCGGGTCTCCAGGATCAGGCCATGGGCTGAAGGTGGCGCTAAACCACTGAGCCACCTGAGCTGCCCATCTTTTTTAGTTTTAAATAGGCTCCACATCCAATGTGGGCTCGAACTCATGACCTTGAGATCAAGAGTCACATGCTCTACCAACTGAGATAGCC